AGGGCGGGGATGGAACTCATGCTAAAGTGGCTTTAGCTTCTTAATGCTGTGCTTTAACCTGCTGAGCCACCAGGGAGGGCCCTAGTTTTTTGTTTGTTTTTTAATCGACCAATTTAGAACACTGGAAAATCAAAAAATGAAAGCAACCGAATAAACTAAAACATGTCTATTTGGGGGGAAAACTACTTAATCTCTATAAAATAATACAGTCCGTGGCATTTTAACTTTCATCCTCTCCTGAAACCAGTGGCCTGGTCTCCAGGAAAAGCCTGGAGTCTCACAGTTCATGACAAGAAGTGAGCTTTTTGGAACTCTGTGGAAAGTATCATCCCTCAAGCACTGTTTGCTGGCTGACATAGCAGTTCTCTGAAAAACCCACTTCTAGGGCATTGGTGCTGCTGGATTTGATTCAGGACTCAGCTCTTGGGGGAAAGCCATAACCACAGGGTATTACTAGAAACAGTACAAAGATTAGAAGACTGAAAGTTGCCAGGATGGTAATTTCCCCAAATTGATCTATAAATGCAGTGCAGTCCCTGTCAAATTCCAGCAGACCTTTTAGCAGAAATGGACACGTCAACACTAAAATACATTAGGGAATAGAAATTGTATACCATGACCAAAACAATTTTGGATAAAAAGAAAATAGAATAAGCCATGTTTATTTAAGACAAAATGGAGCAAGAAATTCCAAGTAATTTGAGGGTTTTTTCAGACTATAGACATGTAGACTATGTGGTGAGATTACTAGAGGAATCAGTGATAGAGTGGATTGCTTGGTGAAAAAGGGGAAAGATTAGAACATCCATTTCTAGGAAATTGGAAAGGGAAGAGAACAGGAGATGTGTTTTTATTTTCTCTACTATAAGTAAATATTGGGTAATTTATCATAGGATGACTCACTAACCAGTTCCTTTCTTTCTTCTAGGTAATTTAACAAAGTATATATTGGAAAATAAAGAGTGTCGCGATTTCTCTATTACTGCACTTTCTGTTGAGGTTAAGAAAAACAAAATAAAATTTACTATTTTGTTCAACAACGAGGCATACCATTCACCTGCAACCTCTCTGGCAGTGTTCGACAACATTCTTTTTATGACCCTTTCTGGCCCTGATGCTTCCATTAGAACTTCCAACAAGCCTCAGCCTTTCCCTATTTATGGTTCTAAAACAGTGTATGTGTGATTTTGCTTTTACTGGAATTAAGACTTAACGTACCCCTTGCATTTGCAAATAGCTGCTGAATCGTTTTCTACTTTTATTCCATTCATTTCATCTTTTATTTCACCTTCGGTAGGAATGCAAGTGGACTAGAAATATTGTTGTGCCTGACTTTTGGCATGGCCGTTCTGGTCGGCAGCTTCTGCCTGCAGACAGTGACCGAGATAACCACGAAGGCCAAGCACATCCAGTTTGTGAGCGGCGCCCGTGTGCCTGCTTACTGGCTTGCCGCTCTGCTGTGGGATCTCAGCTGTTTCTTCGTTCCCTGCTGCTTGCTATTGGTGAGTGTTGGCTGAAGTTGCATGAAAGCTCATTTTCCTATATTACCCATAGACACTCCTGTTCAAAGAATTGTATCCTAAAATAGTATAAATTTCAAGCTCCTTTGTAGTGTTATGCCAATGAAAACCTCATTATAGGAATGCTTTTTCTCATATTCTTAAAAGTAGGGGGAAAATTGTCTTTGAAAAGCCTTTCT